TCGTTACCCAAATCTTATTTAATGTATAAATCAAAATATTCTAGGTATTCTTATTTAAATCAGAACAAAAACGACGAATGAGGAAATAAAGTAACATTAATAGAAAGTCCGTCCAAATTATTGGATCTCAGAGCATATTTTTTTTTGCTGTGAAAATGAAATATATGGGCACATCACTTTTTTCTCGGGTACACCACTCCCAGTATTATTTTAAATGCTTGTGGTGTGTCCGAGAGAGAGTCTGTGGTAATAAATTCTTCACAAAAAGAAGTGGTTTTAAAGTAGTTTTTTAGTATAAACCTTGCTTTGTGTATTAATGAGGAATTGTGTAGAATTGTATTCTGCATATTTTGGTATTTTTAAAGAAGTGTTCTTATTTTTTACTACGTTAACACGTACACATACACATACACACACCACTTATGTCATCAGTCTGTGGTGTGTCTGTAGGCAACTCCTACTTATAATTATGAGGGAATAGAAATGGAAACCACATGTGCATATAATAGAAGAGCTGTGTTTTTTAAACCTACCAGACTCAATTACTCAGAGTTTAGCATAAAAACATAGAACAGCAGGCAAAAAGAATGCCAAATTCAGAAAGAAAAACAGTAATTGGATCAATTTAAACCCTCTAAATTTGGTAGAGACATTCTACTCCTAGTTTTAAGTTAAAATTTTTGAATTTTGGCAATTTTTACGACTATTATTAATGCCACTAAGATGTCAATGTTATTTCAGAGTATATATATATATCAATTGGATAATATTTAGAACAATTATATAGACAATCTAGAAAGTAATTACAATACAAAAAATATCCAGAAGATCAAAGAAAAAGAAATGGATTGCTTGTTAAAAAAAGTTTTTATTTAAACAAGTGAACTTTCAAAGTCCATAAAGTGAGAAATCAAATAAATAGATAGATCAATTAATAAATAATAAAGAAAAAGATGGTTCGGTAGTATTAAGAAACTACATAACTAGCTTTTCTTTTTTCTTTTCAAAATAAAGAAATTTAAGCGTAGGCAGCAACAGCGGCAGCGAAAGCAGCGGTGATTCTGTCAGCATAACCTTGGGCAGTGGAGGCGAGGTCGGAGGGGGTGTTGGCAACCAAACAGGTGGAGACAGCGGAGGTCTTGGTGTTCAAGCTGTTGATGTCACCCTTAACAAGAGGAGTGACAAGGGCAACAGAGTCAAAGACGCTCTTCTTGTCAATGATGGCTTGTAAAGCAGCCTCGATTTGGGTGGTCAAGGGGTCAACTTCAGCAATGACAGCATTGGCATCCTCATCAGAGACGGGACCAGTGACAGCACAACAGTCGGTCTTGGCAGTACCGAGCTTGGTTTCAAGAGTGCTTTCCTGTGATTGAACAGTAAGGGCACCAGCGTAACCTTGAGAGGCAGTGTAGGCGGAAACCTGAATTCAAAAGTAAAATGTTAATAATCGAAACGAAAGCTTAATTGGTTTTTTTTTTTTCTTTTTTGGCTTTTATTGATTACTTACACCATTGGTGACAGTGGTGAGCTGGGTGGAGACAGCTGTGAGATCAGTGATACAGAC